GCTGAAGCGCACAGGGGAACCACCGCTGCAGCGCCGTCACACCAACACCAGTTGAAGAAACCTCTTCCCAGAGCGCTCGTAGACTCGTTCAGAATCCTCTTCGGATGATAGGCAGAGCAGAACTATAGAACTGCTTGGCTCCGAAGCGAAAAGCTGAATATGTGTTGCACCTGCTGCCTACTTATGCTCGTGTCATGACGAGCAGCAGCTGGATGCAATTATCACATGCCAATGTGCATTGGCTCATTTAGTTTACACTCGAAGATGATAGGGCTCTCAGGCGAGATCCCAATTTGTCGGTCACCGACATGACTCGGAGTGACCGACTGAAAGGGAACTCAAAAATCTGCTGAAGTTGGTTGCCTTAAGCTTTTAAGTTTTCTAAACTTTTGATTTTTACAGTGCACGTTCTTCAGAAGCATGGTTTGCAAATTTATTTACATGATATTTATATGACCATTCCATATTGTGAATATAGTCAGAGCTAAATGGTATGACACTGTCACGATCACTCGGGGAAGTCCAGAATGAGGAGATCCAGGAGAATACTTCTAATTCGACTTTAATCACACAAACAAAGCGATACAACCACATGTACTTCAGAATGACATTTAACAGCCGACGCTAGACACAGGGAACACAGGGCTAAAGTAGACAAGGAAACTAATGAGGGAACACCTGGAAACAATGAACATGACATGAGGGAAAACACAGCTGGAACCAAATAAACATAATGAGGACAGGAACAGGAAACATGACCGAAAAAGGAAAACAGAAACTAAGACAGGGGTAAAACAAGGAAACACAAGTCCACAACACTGACATTACTCCCCCCTCCTGGAAGGTGCGTCCCACGCCATAACAATTCCACCAGGGAGGGGGGGTGGGTGCCCTGAGGCCTCCAGGGTGGATCAGGGAGCTCAGGGGGCCATGGCGGGACAGGCAGTCCCAGGAGTCATGGCGGATCAGGCAGTCCAGGGTGCCATGGCGGAGCGGGCAGTTCAGGGCGCCATGGCGGAGCAGGTAGTTCGGGGCGCCATGGCAGAGCAGGCAGACCAGGAAGCCATGGCGGAGCAGGGAACTCAGAAAGCCATGGCTGGATGGCCTCATGGTGGGACAGGCAGTCCCAGGAGCCATGGCGGATCAGGCAGTCCAGGGTGCCATGGCCGAGCGGGCAGTTCAGGGCGCCATGGCGGAGCGGGTAGTTCGGGGCACCATGGCGGAGCATACAGTTTAGGAGACCATGGCAGAACAGGGAGCTCGGGGAGCCATGGCGGAACAGGGAATGCAGAAGGCCATGGCTGGACGGCCTCCGTGGCCTTGGCCTCACCACTCGGCCCGGCCACTACAGCTGGGAACTCAGGACGCCATGGCCGGACGGCCTTCGTGGCCTTGGCCTCGCCACTCGGCCCGGCCACTATAGATGGACCCAAACTACCCCCAAAAAAAAAGCCTTGGGGAGAGTTTCGTCTTTCGAGGCCCTTCATGGCCTAACCCGGGAACAGTGGCCCTCCCTGGGCTTGACTTGGGGACCGGAGCTCTCCTTGGGCTGGACATGGGAAATAGAGCCCTTTCTGTGCTACACTCGGGGATTGGAGCCTTCTCTGGGCTAAACTAGGAGACTGGAGCCTTCTGGGCTAAACTTGGGGACTGGAGCCCTCACTGGGCTAAATTCAGGGGCTGGAGCCGACACTGGAGCGAGCTCTGGGGCTGGAGCCAACAGCCTTTTTCTCCTCAGGTTTCTTTTTTGATTGGTGGTGAGGTAAGCAGTTGCTGTCTGCTGAGGGCTTGACATCGGCGCGGCCGGCAGGCTTGACTGTGGAACGGCCGGCGGAGGGGTTCCGGATCGGGATCGGGATTGGAGACTCTCCAGACACCGGATGACTGCCTCCTTCCAGTCGAGGTTGGTGGTGTCTGGGAGCTCCATGGGCAGATGGTATGTTATCCCGAGTCGGAACATCGTCAAGAGGGTTTCCCCATCGAGGGAGCTGGCGAGGGCGAGCTGCATGAACGCCCTTGAGTAGATGATTGGGTCATGGCTCGCCTGAGCCATGGCGATGAACATCGCTCGTTCCTCCATTTGAGTGGGGAGAAACCAACGGGAAAAAACAAAACACTTTTCAAAAAACGAAAAACAAACACGGGTAGAAGGGGCGCCGCTTACTGTCACGGTCCGCTGTTCTGTCACAATCGGGGAAGAAATGAGGAGATCCAGGAGAATACTTCTAATTCAACTTTAATCACACAAACAAAGGAATACAACCACATATACTTCAGAATGACGTTTAACAGCCGACGCTAGACACAGGGAAACACAGGGCTAAAGTAGACAAGGAAACTAATGAGGGAACACCTGGAAACAATGAACATGACATGAGGGAAAACACAGCTGGAACCAAATAAACATAATGAGGACAGGAACAGGAAACATGACCAAAAAAGGAAAACAGGAACCAAGGCCCTGTCCACGCGAACGCGGTTATTTTCAAAACCGCAGCTTTTTCTACGCGGTATGGCCTTTCGTCCACACGTAAACGCAGCACTAGGTCACTGAAACCGAACATTTTTGAAAACTCCTGCCAGGGTGAAGATTTTCAAAAACTCCGGTTGCAGTGTTATCATGTAGACAGCGAAACCGGAGTTTTTGGCTTGTGAGGTCAGAGCCTGTGCTGTTATCTCCGCCTACTGAAAACTTTTCAGGCTTCTGATTGGCCAACATGGTTTTACGGTTGAGATTTTATCACCACCTGTTGGCTTGGCATGCTCTTGACAGTGCTTCATAGCATGCGTTTGCGTTTTCATGTGGACGGAATTTTTTTTT